AAAAATTATAGCGACCAAGACTGAATTCCTCTTAATAAAATATATCATAGAGACATCAAAAGAAATAGGAGTTTTAGCATTAACATCTTTTCAACTTGTCTACTGAACAAGTAGAATCAAAGTCAACATAAATTCAATTGAAAGAGAACTTATCCGTATTAAGAGACTCACGCTTTTCTGGCGAAGAGCTACAGTGGAGGTAACAACGGAATTTCGGAGAATCCACGGCGGTCACTCTATTCACTTCTCTCTTTTGTTTCTTTCGTCAGATTTTAGAGGCTTTTGAAATGACAGGGTTGGACTCTCTATGGTTTCAGTGGTTAGGATTAGGGTTTGGTTTGTTGGCGAGGAGAAGAGCAATGGAGAAGAAGAAGAAGAAGAAATAGACAATAGAAAATTGAAAAATGGAGAAGAAGAAATAGGAGCGATGGAGAAGAATTGAAAAATGAAAAATGGAGAAGAGCGATGGAGAAGAAGAACAAGAAATTGAAAAATGGCGAAGAAGAAATAGAAAATCAGATTTAGAGATTGTAAAATTTGAGAGGGAATTTGATTTGGAAATTTTGGGTTTGAATTTTTTTTTTTTTTAAATTTTTAGGGCATTAAGTAACCCACATGCCATATGGCATTGATATAACATGCCACGTAAGTTTATACATAACCTTTTTGTAAGAGGCTTTGTACAAATAGCATTATTGCTATCCATTGCATCTCAATTAACACAATCAAGAAATTCAGATTTTGGGTGTCATATAGAGAGTACAGACAAGGTACACTGTTTTTTTTTTTTTTTTTTTTTTAACCTTTCTTACCGAACAAGTTTAAATTTCACTTTTCAAATAATAAATCCTAAGTCTTACTGCATACAATCTTGTAAAGTTGGATTTTAACTCTACAATTATGAGATAAAACTATATTCTCCTAAGGTGGCAGCAATAAACTAGTGAAGGAAGATCATGATCCGTAGAGAAAAAAGGATACGGAGAATTTCATGAAGGGATAGTAGTTTAAGAACTGTTATTTGGTTAAAGTTGCGACGACATTCTGTGAATTAATTTGCAATAATAGGTGGAAAAAGAATTCATAACAAGGGTAACTATGAAAATAAGGATTACAATTTTTAAAAATGGGGTCAAATTAGATAATAAGTGGGAGTTATATACCATCACATTTTTTGGGAATTAGAATTAATGATACTACTATACAGAGAAATTCCAAGTATGCAAAGACAGGAAGTCCCTGTTGGAGAACAAAATGGGGTCTACAATGTCTCTTATTTCCCCAATTCCCTGTTTGTTTTCTTAGTTATAGTTTATTGGAAGATCTTTATATCTAATCCAGTTCATACTGCAATTTGTTATATGCTTTCACTATATTTCCTTATAGCTTTTGGGAGTATTAATAGCTATTGGTAGGCCAGGAGGCTAAATGAAACTGCTAAATCAATTTTCAGTCTGATCTTTGAACTTTATTTTTTCATTTGGCCTACTCCTTTAAGCAACCTTTTGAGCTCTGAGTCGGAGCTCTGAGTCGGGCAATTTTCCTAGTTGTAGTCTTCACTAACAATTAAATGTTTATCTCATTATTTTGCATGGATCTGGTTATTTCTGCATCCGGTGCTGAGCATGTCTTTCATAGAACTTGAGAAACCCTTATAATTTAAATTGGCAATGGGCTAGAGGAAGATTCCATGGATTCCTTGTTGTTTTGTACGTTTGGTGATAATAATTCTTTGTTGTATTTTCATTTCAGCTTTTGTTTATTGAGGTAATTGAGATATTTCTGGCCCTTATCTATAGGTTGTTCTGCAATGGCTGGAACTAAGGAAGAAAGATGTGTTTTAGCATCTGAAATCTTGTTTGATATATCTGAAGGACGGCGAACCTTTCTTGAGGCAGAGGAGGCTGAGGAAATCTTAAGGCCATTAAAGGAGCCTGGAAATTCTTTTACTAAGATGTGCTTTGGCAATAGAAGCTTTGGTTTAGGAGCAGCCAAAGTTGCTGAGCCCATTTTGGTTTCCCTCAAGGGCAGTTAAGGAAGTTGACCTCTCAGATTCTGTTGCAGGAGGACCAGAAGCAGAGGCTCTTGAAGTTATGAATATATTCTCGGCTGCCCTGGAAGGTAGCAATTTGGAGTCTCTAACCCTCTCGAATAATGCCTTGGGTGAGAAGGGTGTGCATTGTGGTATCTCAGAAGCAGCTGTGCAGGCAGTTTGTTAAATGATTCCCTCCACAGACAAGCTTAGGGTTCTTCAGTTTCATAACATAACAGGTGATGAAGGGGGCCCTTGCTATCTCTAAGGTTGTGAACCATTCTCACTTGTTAGAGGATTTTCGCTGCACCTCAACTATGATAGGCTCAAAGGGAGGAATTGCATTGTCAGAAGCACTTGAGCATTGTACCCGTTTGAAGACGCTTGACCTGCACAATAACATGTTTAGAAGCAAGCTGGAGTTGCCCTAAGTATAGCTCTTTCCAGGCATGCATATCTCACTGAGGTTTACCTGAGCTATCTAAACTTGGAAGATAAGGGTACAATTGCTATAGCCAATGCCCTCTGGAAATCTACTCCTTTACTTGAACTCCTGGAGCTGGCTGGGAATGAATTTATAGCTGACGCTACTGCTGCTATATTTGCTTGTATAGAAGTGAAGCAGCATCTTACCAAGTTAAACTCGGCTGAAACTGAAATTGTGGATGAAGTTGCTCTATACATTTAGTCAGGCCTTGGAAGAGGGGCATGACCAGCTGAAGGAAGTTGATATGAGCTCCAGCTTAATAAAAAGGGATAGAGCCCGAATCTTGGCAAAAGTGACAGATTATTAAAAAACATGGATTTAAGCTGCTGAACATTAATTCAAATATCATCTCTGATGAAGGCATTGATGAGGTGAAATAAATATTTAAGAAATCTCCTGATTTGCTTGGACCCTTGGATGGGAATATGATCCTGAAGGAGGTGATGATGACGAAGAATCTGGAGAGGCTGAAGGTAACGAGGATGTATTATTCAGAGATTTGTCTTTAGAGTTAGTAAAAGACAGCTTTGCAGATGTATTATTGAGGAAGGTGGCCCAGGGCCAGCACCAATACCCATGTAAATATGTAAGGGTGCGTTTGGTTTATTATTTTGGATAGAATTTTGAGGATAGTATTGGATTATTGGATAGGGGAGTATTACGAGATAAATTTTAAAAATTTATGAAAAAACTCTTAGGTTTACTAATTTAATTAAAGACCCTAATATATAAAATGACAAAAACACCCCCACCACCTGCAATGCCAGATTCCGACCACCATCGCTGGAATCTGGCTGAAAAATTTTCGTTACGACATAGACCGATCGGATCTGTGTTATAACGGGTTGTTATGGCCTTTTTCGGCCAGATCTACGAACGTGTGTGGCTGCGACGGCCAGAAAAGGTTGAAACGACGGCCATTCTGACTGTCAGTGACGGCCCAAGATATGGACGTCGTTGACGGCAGATCTGGCCATTATCGACTATTTTCGGTGGCTGTGTGACTATTGTGATAGATTCCGACTATCACCAGCGATGGTTGCCGAAATCTAACAGGTATTGGGGGGTGGAGGTGTTTTTGTTGTTTTTAAACTTTTTTTGGGGTATTTAATGAAATTAATAAACTATAGGATCTCAAGTAATTAAAAAAAAAACTAATTTTTAGAAATAACATACAAACAACATTTGAAAAATATGATTGAAAATATAGATAAAAACAATAAGCGAAAGTACCATGAGCTACCACATCTCCGAACCATAAACCAACTTTGTTGGTCCACATTAAAATTAAAAAAAAAAAAAAAAACTTGTAGTGAAAGTGATTGCCAAATTATAGTTAGTTTCATTAACTTCAAATCAGTGTTCAATCAAAAGATTTGGAATAAGATGGCATTACTTTTTCGTGGGTGTGTGTGTGCGCTAAGTCTTTTCTATAATGATCTGAATGATGAAAGGCCGAACGAGATGCACCACCCTAGTTTGTGGACCAGTTAAAATAGAATGCAAATGTAATTTTAAATAAATGGGTTACCTTTGTTTGGTTGATGTGTCAGGGGAATTCAAGTTTTGAACAGGATAATCAATTCCAAATTGGAATAACAAATTTTATTTCTTTTTTTTAAAATAAAAGAGACAAAACCACTAAATTAAATTTTTAATATATAATGTAGGATACTGTTTGTAAATAGAATAATAGAAACATCCCAACGTGGCAAACAGAGCTGGAATATCACGAAACTGGAACATAATTACTGGCGTAACCAACATCACGTCTCGGTTTAATCACTAGTATGCGTTTGGTTAATATTTTATTCCTATTCTGGATCTATTCTCCAAATAGCGTTTGGTACAATATTCTCAAAATATTACCATTTTTTTAATACATTTTAACCCCATAAGGTTATTAATTTCACTAAATACCCCCTAAAAAAAAAGTTTAAAAATTAACAAAAACACCCATCAACCCAACTTGTCAGATTCCGGCAACCACTGCGGTGATAGCCGGAATCTGTACAAAGGCCTAACTTCGACCAGAAATGGCCGGAAGTTCACCGCTGTGGCCTTTTCCGGCCAGATCCGTGGTGGATCTGGCCGGAAAAGGCCAGATCTGGCCGCTAGCGACGGCAAAGATGGCCCTCGTTTGGCCTTTTCCGGCCGTCGACAGCCATAACAGCCGTAGATCTGGCCTTTTCGGTCAGAAAAGGCCATAACGACGTGTTACGGCACAGACCGACAAGTCTGTGCCGTAACGAAATTTTCGGCCAGATTCCGGCGGTGGTGGCCGGAATCTGACACTGCAGGTGGTGGGGGTGTTTTTGTCATATAGTTAGGGTCTTTAGTTAAATTAGTAAACCTAAGGGCTTTTTTATAAATTTTAAAATTTACCTCGTAATACTCCCATATCCAATAACCCAATACTATCCCTAAAATCCTATCAAAATACTAAACCAAACGCCACCTTAATTGTAGATTCGAAAACCTAACATTTCGCTCTCTATCACTTTCTCGGTTCAGTTCCCTTTTCCCTCCACTCCACCCCTCTCTTCTTTCTCTCTCTACATTTCCCCTGAATTAACGCAACCAGGAGATTCAGATTTTGAGAGCCAAATAGAGAGTGCAAACAAGGTATAATTTTTTTATTTTACATTTATAACGTTTTGAACTCTAAATTCAATAACACTTGTGAGTGTGCTAAATGCTTCTTTTTGCTTCAGATCTGTTTCTTATTTTTGAAAAGTTGGAATCTTTTCGATGATTTTAGCTTTTCTATTGCCTATTTATTGTCTCATTTCCTAATATGCCTTCTTGTTATAAACGTTTTAGATCTTCTGTTAGTTATTCTGTTGTATTTGTACTGCATTTGCATGTTTGATTAGGCTTTCATGTAAACAGTTTTTATTAGAGATTTATTTTACGTCAGCCTATTGGGAAAGAAGAAAGTTATTTTAGCGATGTATTGAATGAACGTTTTAGTTTGGTAGTTGGGAAGATCTGAGTGATATAAAAGAAAACAGATTGAAAATGTGAAGACAGTAAGTCTCTTTTGAAGAACAAAATTGAGTCTGAAGTGTATCTCCTATTTTTCCAATTCCCTGTTTATTTTCTTAGTTTTAGTTAATTGGAAGACCTTAATTTTTAATCCAGTTCATTCAACAATTTGTTATTTTCTTTCACTATTGTCTTTGTTTAGGTACATTTCCTCTGCTTTTCGCAAGATTGTTAGTTGATGTCTTCACTAACAATTAAATGTTTATCTCATTATTTACATGGATTAAGGTTATTTCTCCATCCAGTGCTAAGCATGTCTTTCGCGTTGCTTGAAAAACCCTTTAAATTTAATTTGACAATGTGCTAAAGGAAGATTCAATGTTTCCTTATTGTTTAGTATCATTCTGCTTGTTAGTTTGGCAGTTCTAATAATTTTTTCTTGTAATTTCATTTCAGCGTTTATTATTGAGGTAGTTAAGATATATCTGGCCCTTATCTGTAGGTTGTTCTGCAATGGATGCCACAACAGAGAATTCACAACGCCGTTCTTTCTCAATTAAACTATGGCCTCCAAGCCAAAACACACGCCAAATGCTTGTGGAACGTATGACTAACAATCTCACATCTAAATCCATTTTCACCCAGAGATATGGTGTTTTGACCTTGGAAGAGGCTGAAGAAAATGCAAAAAATATTGAGGATACGGCTTTCACCACTGCAAATCAGCACTATGAGAAAGAGCCTGATGGTGATGGAAGTTCTGCAGTCCAGCTTTATGCAAGGGAATGCAGTAAGCTTTTGCTGGAAGTTCTTAAGAGAGGCCCTGGAACTAAGGAAGAAAGAGGTGTTTTAGCATCTGAGGAGACCAAGGATGACAAGCAAGAGCTGGAATCTGAGAAAGTCAGTGCAGCTCATGAAACCTTGTTTGATATATCTAAAGGAAAGCGATCCTTTCTTGAGGCAGAGAAGGCTGAGGAGATCTTAAGGCCATTAAAGGAGCCTGGAAATTCTTACACTAAGATATGCTTTAGCAATAGAAGCTTTGGTTTAGGAGCAGCCAAAGTTGCTGAGCCCATTTTGGTTTCCCTCAAGAGTCAGTTGAAGGAAGTTGACATCTCAGATTTTATTGCAGGAAGACCAGAAGCAGAGGCTCTTGAAGTTATGAAAATATTCGCAGCTGCCCTGGAAGGTAGCATTTTGAAGTCTCTAAACCTCTCGAATAATGCCTTGGGTGAGAAGGGTGTCAGGGCTTTTGGGCCCCTCCTGAAATCACAGAGTTCCATGGAGGAGCTCTACTTAATGAATGATGGTATCTCAGAAGAAGCTGCACGTGCAGTTTGTGAATTGATTCCCTCCACAGAGAAGCTTAAGGTCCTTCAGTTTCATAATAACATGACAGGTGATGAAGGGGCTCTTGCTATCTCTGAGGTCGTGAAGCATTCAACCTTGTTAGAGGATTTTCGCAGCTCCTCAACTAGGATAGGCTCAGAAGGTGGAATTGCACTGTCCGAAGCACTTGAGAGTTGTACCCATTTGAAGAAGCTTGACCTGCGTGATAACATGTTTGGAGTGGATGCTGGAGTTGCTTTAAGTAAAGCTTTTTCTAGGCATGCAGATCTCACTGAGATTTACCTAAGCTATCTCAACTTGGAAGATCAGGGTACAATTGCTATAGTCAATGCCCTCAAGGAATCTGCTCCTTTGCTTGCAGTCCTGGAGCTGGCTGGGAATGACGTGACAGCTGAAGCTGCTCCTGTTATATCTGCTTGTATAGCAGTGAAGCAGCATCTGGTCAAGTTAAACTTGGCTGAAAATGAACTTAAAGATGAAGGTGCTGTCCACATTAGCAAGGCCTTAGAAGAGGGGCATAACCAGCTGGAGGAAGTTGATATGAGCGCCAACTTTATAAGACGGGCTGGAGCTCGACTCTTGGCACAGGTGGTCATTAAAAAACCGGGATTTAAGCTGCTGAACATTAATTCAAATATCATCTCTGAAGAAGGCATCGATGAAATGAAAGAAATATTTAAGAAATCTACTGATTTACTTGGACCTTTGGATGAGAATGACCCTGAAGGAGGTGAAGGTGATGAAGAATCTGGAGAGGGCGAAGGTAATGAGGATGAATTGGAATCGAAGCTGAAGAATCTTGAAGTTGGTGGTCAAGATGATTAAAGATTCTCTTATTTTAGGTGTCTTAATATAGAATTTGCTGCACTTGTAACATCGTGGGACCTCAACAATAGTGGGAGATGATTGACAGCATTTTGGATTAACTATTCTGTTAATTCCCCATGCATTAGCTGAGCAGGGTAGTAGCTGTTTGTTTAGTGGAGGCCTAGAGTATGTTGTCTGTAGCAGTAGATAATTTTTAGGGGAGTCTTCCGAAGTTTTTTCTTCTGGAACCTCTAGATTTTCAAGTCATTCAATGTGTTAGCAGATCTTGTAACAGATTCACTCTGATATTGCTAATGATGCAATGTCAAAAATATTGTTATGAGTGCTTGAGGTGCGCTCATGTATTATGTCCTATGGCTAAAATGATTATTACTTGGACATACTGTGGAAATCAGTCTTTTCTGGAAGTTTTTATGTCTTCTAAAACCCGTTTTGAGAATCCTATCCGAAGTTGAGCATTTACAAAGAGAAATTCTACAAAAAATTCAACGTCCAGGGAGAAACTTAGGGAATTAGATATGAGGACTCGATTGCATAGATATGGAAACTATCAACATTTGTTAGGAAGAACTTGATTGCATGGATCCATAATTTGCGTGACACTAGAAAACGAGATTGTCTTGCAAAATCAGATTTTCAGGATTGAAAAGAAAAAAAAAAAAGAAGGTTTTTCAGATGAATACCCTTCTTCAAAGTCTGTATACATATTGACATTCTAATTAAACGCTTCTTTAAGCACTAGAAAAATGATAATCGTACTACATGTATAAATCACCATTGACATAACATTGTTGGCACTAATTTTCGATCACATGATGCGCATGTTTAATAACACTTTCCCTACTGTTTTTCCTTTGATTACCCGGCATGGTTTTCTTTTTCTTGTTAAGATCTACATTGTAATTGTAAATTAACGTACAACTCATTTAGGTTCTGTCTCTTCTCCTACCAAAAACCTACAACACTATGCCGCACATCAAGTTTTTATCAGCTTGGCTATCCAGTTTCTGATTATAGAAATTGAAAAATGTAACAGCAGAAGCAGCTTTACTATGAGACTAAGACGCCAAATAAGAAAGCCAATTTGACGAACCAACATTAATAGTGAGATTAGAAGGATCATTCATTAATGCGGCAGTTTTACATACAGCTTATATTGGCGGAAAACACTTTAGAAATAACTGGGAACTGGAGAATATGCCATGACCACACCAGTTAAAAAATCACTTTATCTTTGTCGCTTGAGAACCCAAACTTCGGAGCTAAACAACAGCTCCTGCTATGAAATTCCAGCAACTTTGTCATGCTGTATGAAATTCCAGCAACTTTGAGACAACTAGAATGAGCAGGGACTGTTCAGGTTCATCCTGTCATTTTCGCCAAGTCATTTTATATTAATTCCACACGTTTCCTCTTCCATTTGAGTTCTGCCCTCTAGAATCAGATGATGAGCTCTGGACGACATAACTTGATCTCTTCTTCTTGTGGGTAGTCCATGTAAATAAATGCCCATTCAAATAACTTCCTTGAACACCTTGACGTTCAGGCTTTTCAACACTCTGATATTCAGCTTTTTCTGAATTTCCCCTCTCAAACTGCAGTCTCTTTGGGGCCGAACCATAGGTATCCTCACTTGTTCCCTCACTGGCAGTAGGCAGATTCTCATTCTTCACTTCTAATACCTTTTTCTCTGCACCTGTACTATTACTAACTGTTTCATTGCCCTCCAATGGAAGATGGTCCCTTCTCTTTTTAGTTGAAAGCTTCGATATGTCTTGTCCATTTTCCACAGCTTTCATCCATTGTAAATCACTTAATGTATCAGCGTAAACCACTTCCTTCCTTTTCCGTTTTCCTGTAATTTTGCTGCTATCATGTTCAAAACCTTTGTTCTGATCTTCCTTACTATCAGGTGCAGAATATGCCCACTCAGGAACTTCATGCTCTTCCATAAGACGAGATCGGTAGTTCTCTTTTTGCCTTCTCTCCTCATCCATCTTCTCAAACAGCCAAAATTCCTCATCTGAGCGGGCTGCGAGACGGTTGATTTCTCTCTCACTTGGTACATCTGTTCCAAGAGAGCTTGTACCTTTACGCATTATCTCCTTTAACATCTCTTTTCTGTCCTGAGCTGCAGAAACACAGAAATATCACATTAATTCATTTTGACATTTTGTTAATCCAAACAAAGAGAAGAGCCACAAGGGGAAGTCAGGACTAAAAAGTGCTCATTTCAGAAGAATTTTGTCAGCATGAATATATGAAAATAGCAAGCAAATGATTGGTAAGCAAACGGCATATAAAATTAATTTATCTGGTGTTCAGTTAATCCAAAGAAAGAGATGAGCCATATGGGGCAACGAGCAAGACAAGGACATCATTTCAGGAGTTTCTCAGCATGTGCTAGTAGACATGGTCACAGATTACGTATATAAAACTTCCTCTTAAAAAAAAAAAAAAAAAAAAAACCACAATCTTCCACCACAATTTTATACACAGAATGAAACATAGCATAGGTATGAAATGAACTTTAAGTTACTAAAACCAAAAAAGTTCAATAATAACTTGAAGAAAATTTTACATATGGCAACGGCAGCATTTTATAGGGGTAGCACCGTAACAGCACATTCAAGTTTTTATGAAACAGTAGAGATAGAAATGCAGTAGCGTGGAGCAAAGTTGACAGAAAATACTATTTCATTCTTTCAATTTAAGGAAAAAAAATATAATGAATATTTCCAAGTCACTGCATTAAGTTCAAGTAAAACATACCAGTGGAAGTTGTATTGAAAAGTCCAGCCTGGATAACCTTGGCATCAATGCCCATCTTCTGCTTAGCACGTTCCAAGATTACCTCTTCAATCGATCCAACACTAACCAACACAAAAACCCTGACTTCTTTCTTCTGTCCAATTCGATGGGCCCGATCCTCCGCCTGTTGGTCCATTTGTGGATTCCAATCACTGTCAAAGATTATTACAGTATCTGCTGTTTGCAAGTTCAAACCAAGTCCTCCAGCACGAGTACTCAAGAGAAACATAAAGTAGGGAGAGTCTGGAGCATTAAATTGCTTGAGTAATGTCCCTCTTTCCTCTGTCTTTGTCGAGCCATCAAGTCTAAGAAACTTAAAATCGTTTAGTTTCAAATATATTTCGAGAATGTCCATGAGACGAGTCATCTGTGAGAAAAGTAGGACTCTATGCCCAGATCTATGGAGTTTTGGGAGTAAACGATCAAGTAGCTCAAATTTTCCAGATGCTCTGATGATCTCTTCCTTGCGCCACATATTGTATTCTCCAACAAAAAGGTATGGGTGGTTACAACACTTTCTAAGCTGCATCGACAAGTTCTGCAGACTCTTTGATCTCCTAGAATCTGAAAATTTTTGAAGTCTCAGTAAACAATGAAAAAATTTATCCCAACTAAAAGAAAAAAAGAAAGGGTGCAACTACATTCACCAAAAGAAAACAAAAACAGATGTAAAAATAAAACTATCATGCAGTTTTCTTAAGGAAAAGTTGCGGATGAACAATAACAGACATATGAAAAACTTGATAGCTATTAAAAATGAATTGCCAGAATCACCGTNTCCTTGCGCCACATATTGTATTCTCCAACAAAAAGGTATGGGTGGTTACAACACTTTCTGAGCTGCATCGACAAGTTCTGCAGACTCTTTGATCTCCTAGAATCTGAAAATTTTTGAAGTCTCAGTAAACAATGAAAAAATTTATCCCAACTAAAAGAAAAAAAGAAAGGGTGCAACTACATTCACCAAAAGAAAACAAAAACAGATGTAAAAATAAAACTATCATGCAGTTTTCTTAAGGAAAAGTTGCGGATGAACAATAACAGACATATGAAAAACTTGATAGCTATTAAAAATGAATTGCCAGAATCACCGTTTGGTTGACATTTTTAAGGTCTTAATGATGTATTTGACCATTTGAGTGCATAAGAGTAGAAGCAATTCCTGTTACAAAGAGCCTAAAATTTCTATTGGCAATGTTTATCAAACCAAGCAATTTAGCACTCAGAGATATATGGAGGAACTAAGAAAGCAGGTTGTTCCGGTGGGACAGATGGGTAGGGGATGAAGAGTTTTCTTTCACTTGAATATAGGAATTAACCACTTGACAGATAACTAGAAATGGATGCTGATAGATGGCATATAGAAGAAGAAGCTACAGACCAGTATCTAGCCCAACTCTGCCCAACTCTGTCACTTGGTGGTAATATACTTTTTGCCATGCTGACAGATCGCATTTAAGTATGACCTGGGATTTCCCAGGAAGGTACTTCTCTACCTCATCTTTTTTCCTCCTCAAAATGAATGGCCTTATAACCTGACAACCAAGTAAATCCACTAAGATAAAGAAGTCCAAAATTAAAAAAAAAAAAAAAAAGACATGAAACCTAGGAGCAACACCTACATGATGCAAACGACGAATAATCAACAATTGCTCTTCATCTGTAAGAGCAACCTGACCCCGATCCATGAAGGGAGCATTGAACCACTCTTCAAAGTTCTCGACGGAATTGAAAATGGTTGGGAGGAGAAAATTGAGGAGGGACCATAATTCCTGCAAACTATTCTGGATTGGTGTCCCAGTTAACAAAAGTCTACGTTGAATCTGATACCTGCATATAAGTAAAATTGATCATAATAGTCTTATCTTTATTGTTTTGTCATGGTAATGCCCCAAAATGATATTGCGCAGCCAATAAAAAAGATCAGCTTGGGACAAAGTTCATCATAGCTATGAAAAGGTAATATATAACATGACCAGAGAGATCACTTGAAAGTGCAAAGAAGCAATTCAGAACTGAGAAGGTTTTTACAAAATAATACTGCCCCTAACAGGCAACAATAAACGAAGGTGGGATGTATACACATTTTATTGAAACATAGCAACAGATTCAGCAAAAACAATTGGAAGAAAAATAATAAATTCTACCCCAGACATCATACCCGGCAATAGTCTTTGCAAGAGCACACTCATGATTCTTTAAACGATGCCCTTCATCAACAATCATATAGATCCAGTGAACTTTCTTCAAATATTGTCTATCTCTCATTATGAGATCATAATGTGTGATCAACACACTAAATCTTCCTCTCTCTGTAAAGTACTCCTCCCTTAGTGCCTTTCGCTCATCTGGTCGTCCATCATAAACAACTGCTGCAATACTGTATTGGAAAGTAAATGCATAAGCAATTCAAGATAAAGTTACATGTGGTCCATCACAAACAACTGCTGCAACACTGGAACGACAAGAAAATGCATAAAGTTCCATGCACGATGCACATACACACAAAGACATGCATGCATATGGATAGAGAGATTGGTCTTAAAAAATGCTCTGTGCTTACCTGGGAACCCATGTTGAAAATTCAGTGATCCAATTGGGTAGCACAGCCTTTGGAGCCACTATTAGGTGGGGCCCCATAACACCCTTGTTCTCAATGAGATATGCAACCAAAGAAATTGTTTGAATTGTCTTTCCCAGTCCCATCTCATCAGCTAAAATTCCATTTAGGTTGTTATTGAACAACGACAGCATCCATTGGAGCCCTTCTATCTGGTATGGCCTCAATTCTCCACCTTGAAGCAAGGACGGTTGCTCAGTTACCTGAGGTAAAAATAAATTCGGTTAGGTTCTCTAAGTAGAGTGAGTGACAGATAATATAAAGAAAAAGAAAAATTTTGTGAGAACTCAATCATTATGGTTTACACCATCAGAAATTTAAACAAAAAAAGAAGAGGACTAATTAAGTAATTAGCAATCATAAAGCAACATATGTTTAACTTCCAAGGTATTGTACAGAAGCATTTAGCAGATATTTGACAGATAGACAATTGCATGCCAGATAGGTTGAGCAATTTTAAAGCAAGCAGCCAAGATTGTCTGGCCCTGTATGCTAAGATTAGCTCAAAAATCAAGTCCACTCTTCAAATGAAAGAACTCCTATACAACCATGAAAACAATTTAGGTGATCTTACAAGTTTGATAACATTGAAAGTTTGGACTGGCAAAGCAACATATGAGCTTGAAGAAAACGTCAAGAGGCAATTTTCAGAACAAGGTTTAAGTCCTCCACAAAAAAGAGAGAAATATACCCCTTCTATTACATGATCATCATATGACAAAGTAGTCTCTAAATAAAAATACAACAATTTGGCAGTCTAAATGTCAAATCCAATAGTCCAATTACAAAGCCAAACGAAATTCATAAGAATATAAAACAACATAGGTCAACTAAAAAAATTCCTGCACAGAAAAGTTAACAGAGTAGAAATAACATTCGACAGACAACAAGGCTTCTTCTTTACCTTCTCTTCAATTGAGTGAATTGCAGAGTTATACTGCCTCTGACCTTCAAGTAAATCAGCAGACTCGTCATTACGATCAGAATCAATAATTTCATCTTCCTCAGAAGGTGAATCCCCAGGAGTTCCATTCTCTGAAGCATCCAAGTCAAGCAAATCGTCTTCTGAGTCTCTCAAGGGTTCAATGCCATCTAAATGTTTAGCATCTTTCTGACGTTGAACGGCAGCTCCCAAGTTAACAAGAAGCTTATTTGTCTCTTCAAGAAGCGTGGTTAACCGCTCATTCTTGCTCTCTTTGACTAACCTCATGTATGCTTCTTGATCATCAGCCTTTAGAGCTTGGAACCTCAATTTCTCAGCCCGTGTAGCACGTTGCCTTTGCCTTCCATGCCATGCCTGTTACAGTATGAAACATATAAGGGATCCATTAAAAATAACAATATTAACCAGCAATAACATATCACTCAACTGACTATAATAATTATATATATCTTTTGGAATTACACAAAATAATCTGCAGACTAGCATAAAATTGTTTCTTCCAGGAATTCTTTCTCTTTTTTTATGGAATAAGTATAACAAAAGGATATGAAAATTTTTAAGAACAAGTGGATATGAAAATTTCCCTAAATTTATCTATAAAAAACATAAACAACTTTTTCTAAGAAACGCACAAAACAAGATAAATTAGAGCTAGTCAACTTCAAGAACTAGATTTGTTGAAACGTCTTCAACTATTAGTGATTGTAACAACAGTCATCATTAATGCTTGTTTGGTTGAAAGGAAAGGCAGGAAGGAAAGTAAAAAAGACAAAGACAATACTATTTATGTGATTGGCTAAGAAATAATGAGAGGGATGGAACAGAGCAGGATATTCCATATCTTCAAACCCACCAAAATCGATCTTTCCATAAATGGGCAGTAGCGAAATTAAAAGAATAAGGCCAGAACCATTTTATATTTTTATTCTAGTCCTACATTTAAAATTATAAACATGACCATATATATATTTCAACATATTCAGGTTTAATGGGCAAATTAACATATAATGGCTACTCTTATCTTCTGTTTCCCTCTCTACTGAAGGAAACTAAACAATAAAACGTGACAACTAGTTCCTTTCCCGCTTGTGGTTATTCTTATAACCAAATAGAGGAGAAAGGAAAATGGAGGTGCCTTTTTTTCCTTGCTTTACCCTTCCCCTTCTCTTTCCCTTTTCCCAATCAAAGATTATGTAAGGATAGAATACACTCAATATTCTGGCTGAAAAAAAAAAAAACATAAAGAAAAGGTTTTAAATTTCTTTTTCCACTTGTATCCAAGTGAAATCATGGTTCTTCGCAAGCACTTAGAAAGCTACTAATCAAAGTTGCAAGTTGTTGGAATTCATAATGAAATCTTAGATCTTAATGAAGTTCCATTATAATTCTTATTTATGACTTTATACCAATACTTTCAGGCTTTCTCAAAAAAAAAAAAAAAAAAACAGTTAAAATGTCTATATAGCTTCATAAATTATCTTCCTATGATCTCTATTTTACATCCACTTTACATTTTGTTTGTCCTTCTGACATTTTCAATCAAAACAACCTAACATGTTTATATGATTTTCAGACAGCATTTCTGAAACCTATTTTCCATGCTACCTCCCATCTCCAACTCCTATTCAAATTATCATGCATGGAGAAACGGTAAAAGGGAGCAATATAAAGAGATAAACTACATACCTGGACTCCATCATTCCTTTGCTTTCGGCGTTTTACAGAAGCTTGAATTTGCACTTGGAATTCACGGACAGCATTAAGTATTTCAGCAAAAAATTTTCTTTTTCTAGTCTCGATTTGGTTCCTTGCCTCCTCTTCCAACCTTGACAGCCTCTGCATCAAAAGAATTTTTACTAATCAGCAAAATGCAAGGACTTTTTTATATATCTGGTACCAAAAAAAAAAAAAAAAAAAAAATTCACTAATATATATTGTTCAATTAAAAGCAGAACATGATCTTAAAATCTATTGATTTTTCATATAGCATCCCTCTTTGGTCAAATACACATATCAAAGTTGGATTTACTAATCAATGTCCACAGATTTCTAAATCCTAAAAAGGTAAACCTGGTAATTATATTGTGGGTACTTCATCCTTTTTATAATTTCAGATACACTATAGTTAGTTAGTTACAACAATCAACAAAAATCAATATAAATGGCATTCTTAGCTGGATCTAACAAACTGCTGAGAATCAACTCATTCCAAGAGTAAGTGCTACACTATTTAGAGATACCACATAAAAACTAGAAAACCACCTTCTCAAAATATAAAGGTATTTATTGATATTACCTCAGCATCCCGCTTCTTCCTGAATTGATCATCAGCTTCCATGGCAAAAGCATCTCCAACCCCGTACAGAGGACGGCGCAATCGCATCATGCCCCAATCAAACAGTTGCTTTTCAGGAAATGCACAGTTCAAGCGAAGCCAGTATTCCGAACTCACATCAGACCGAACCTTATTTTGCAACCCTGCTAACTATAAGGAAGAAGTTCGTTGGCCAGAAGAACAGAAACCATGTTATCCCCCAATAACAAAAGAAAACAAACACACACAATCTATGGTTACCATCAACCTAGGAACTTCTTAAGTGGCATGTTCAATAAAACTGTCAAATGTAAGACAGGACACTGCACTTGTATATGATTCACTTGTTAATTTAGCAGAGTTGGTTTATTTTCAAAAAAATTCCCATAAAACAATCACAGTACTCACCCTATATCAACCAAATGCTTTCCTACCTTCAGTTCATGACAGATATTTTAGGTAAAATGTGGCGTACATATTCATGCAAGTAATCAATTGGGAAGAAGACCAAACATAAATAATAAAACAAAACAACTTTTTGACAGAAACTTAAATGTATCAACTGTACCTTTAGTCCATAGAGTTCAAGTAAGCACTTTGTCTGCAGCTCCTCACCTCTACTTGAAGGCAATTCTGAATTTAAAGCATAGATATATTAGTGCTGCTCAATAGTTATCTAAACTCTAACTCAAAACTGATAATGGTTAATTTGAAAGAACTTGACAATGAGTTTTCATGGTGAACAATTGAAGTAATTTAGTCTGCCAGTGCTTCAGAGGAAGTTCCCAACCTGAAAATGTGGTTGGGAAGGACGAATTGATAATTCCAATTGGTTTTCAAAAAGTAAATTACAAATTACAGCTCAAGAAAAAGGAAATAATGCCAGAAAATAAAGTGAAAGAAAATATAACAATGGCTTTCAATGTTATACAAACATCCACTTTTGTTTATTTAAATCACGCAAACTTTAAAGCTTCAACTTCTAACCTAGATATTCATGTAAAAGCAAAAAGATAACTACCACGAAAGATAATTAAATGGTTTAACCAGCAAATTCTATAAACAAGTAAATCTTTATGAGTTTAACAAAAGCAATTTTGAACAAACCAAGCTCTAACAATGCTTATTTAAACTTCACTGATGCAATTCTCAAAGACTAGATGCACCAAGAAACAACATAAGTTAATACTTTCCAATTTCAATCATACATAATTTTTCTAGGGCTAACATACGTTCAAAAAAATAGATGATAACAAGTTGAAGTTCATTCCAAATGATAATAACCTTCAAGTTCATTTAATCGGTGCTGAACGTGGCTCTGATAGCGATTTTCCCTTGAATCTTTCAATCCAGTGCCTGACATGCATTTTTGCCGTTGCTTAGACAGTGCATTCTCAAAGTCACTCATCAAATCTGCTCCATTAGGAATCTTAGGACCATCCTGCCGCATGAATTTAAATCAAAATTCAAAACCAAAATAAAACACTGTAAATTAACTCTTCAAAGACTGGCGCTACATCCACTTTAAAAGGAATAATAGATTATGTTACAGTTACATCTCCATATGAAGAACAGGACTCTCTGCTAGTATAAGTTGGTCTTTTAATAGCTTTGTTAAGATGCATACAACAAAGATGATATTATGCACTTAATTCTGAAGAAGACTAGATCCCAAAGCTTATGTTAATATGAACATGTTTCATTACATATTGCACTAGAACTGTCTCAATTAGTGTTCTAAAACCAGAGCCAGCATCTATAAGTACTACTTTTCAGCCTTTTTTACATACAGAAGATCTAACCAAAACCAACCCAAATTGCATAACACGTTCATATCTTAACGGTTAACAATGCAAAACATGAAATTCAATTTAAGAAAATCAGAAACAAAACTTAGAGTGCGTTATGTCCACAAATTGCTAAGATCATATGAACAAACTCTTCAAACGTAGCCACCCTAAGCACCAAGAACACTCAAAAGTAAACCTATCCCCAAAATCTCCTTCAGAAAACACGAAATGCAAGAATAAAAGCACATCCCTATATCAACAAGATAACAAATTCCACGAAAACCTCATAAATTCAATCAAAACTAATCCCAATACCTCCCTCCAACAACACAAATTTCCACACCAAAACCTTAAAAGCACCAGAAACGTAGACACAAGAAACCAAAACCCAGCACAAGAAAAACAAAGTCAGAATACTCCCCAAAACAACACAAAAAAAAAGGAAAAAGCACAATAAAACCCCGAAATCACACAATCACAACATTAAAACACTTTGCCAACAAAAGGGTATTTCGTCAGCAACACCAGAAAACCCAAATTCACAACAATTTCCCGCACAACAAACCACAACACCAAAAGGGCACCTTAAAAACACCACAAAAACCCTAAATTTACAATAATTTCCAACACCAGAGACCGAAAAATCAAAAGGGTAACTTTGAAAACTCTTACCAAACCCTTTTCAGCCACGGCTGTCTGGTCAGATCCATCGGCACCATGGACCCCATCATCAAGAACCTCGGTAACGCCCTCTTGGTGGCCATAATAGATGGATGAAACGGTGTCGAATAATTCAGGAGGTAGAGGGAGGTCTCGAGATATGAAGTTCAAAGCACAGATCAGAGACTTTGTCCTCTCAACATGGTCCAGAGAGGGAGTCACACTCTCCTCAAGCTGAGCCACCATGGGGGCGCGCGCGAATGTAATCAACGGTTATATTTTTTTTGTTTTTTAAACGGTTTTTTGAAAAGAATTTATCTGGTGTTTAAGAGATAACACTCGCACACACACACATACCCACTCACTCTTTCAATATGTAAATGTGTGCGCGTTTTTGTATAATCGCCTCTTTCTTTGTTTCGCTTCGCAAAAACCCTCGGCGTTTTCTTTCTTTTATTTTATTTTATTTTATTTTATTTTATTTTCTCCTTTTCCCGTATGTATAAGGAAGATAAATTTTGAGAGAATTGCGGAAACCGCCCTATCTATTTTTCAATCACCAAACACGCCTCTATTCTTCTTTCAAATGACATATCTACCCCTGTTGATTATGATCTGATTATTTATGCCATTTTTAAGTTCAATTTTTGTTGGGCTTCATTATTGTTAATTAATGTGTAAAGTAATACTGTATATCTATTATTTAACGCCCCTTTCCATCCACCTCTATTATATTACTTTATACGGATTATTTTGTATATATTATTTTATTTTATTTTTAAAATACTGAGTATATATACCCACAAAAAGTACTGTACACACCCATTTAATTAAGCACAATATTATTGAAATTTTAAATATGATTTCTCTATAAACTTTGAACCAAAATTTTCGATTTACATTGAGTTTTTATTTAATTAAGAATAAATATAAAATTTTATATTATAATTATAAAAATATGTATATTAAAAATCTACCTTTTGAGTTTTTAATAATATGTACTGTTAAAAGTGAGTATTGATAATATTTTTTTGATCCAATAATCAAACATTTTCAATTATCCGAAGTTACATTCTAATATTTGTTAACAACTACATAAGTCATATGCTAGATCGATTTTGGATAGTACAACTGGATTATATTAGAAAGGAGAAATTGAATATATTACAATTTACACACCCATTTTAATGTAATTAAAATAAAATCATATATCGGTCAATTAGCAAATAGATATTCTAATAATGTAAACATTGTTGTAATCAATGTTTTTAAATTTGACCCGGGTCTTGACTCGGTCAAAGGGGTTGGTTCCGGGGTTGGACAGTCTGACCCGTTGGTCGGGTCGATGAAATCAGCATGAAAGCTAGTATGAAACTTAATGGACATAATCATGAGAAATTCTATCAGTCCTTACAGGTTTGAAATCTAGCAAACACACCCCTGTGATTTGGCTAGGAGGCGTAAAGTGTCGCATAGTCAATCGGTACATCAAGCGGCAGGCAGTAATTGATGAGGGAACTCAGGCCGTGATGAACATGGTTTTGGTGTGGAGAATAAGGTGGTGCTGATGGTGGTGTCAAGTGGAATGATTGTCATTGAAAGCGATTGGAAATCAACCTAAAGATAGGCAGTCGCGCAAACCAGCAGGTGGACGACATCAACTATCGGCGGGTGCACTTGGCTGGAGATGGTAAGGGTTTTGTCGTGTAGGTGAAGGTGAAGGTGAAGCCTTTTGTGGTGTCAAGTGGGTGCAATGAGCTAGAATTAGACTGGATCAACCTTGGAATAGGCAATCGCGAGAATGGGAAAGGGTCATGTGAACGGTGTAGAACGGCCAAAACACGGTCAATCAGACTAGGAAAGTACTCAAATGGTGTTAGGAAGGTGTCTTCTGCTGATTTTGATGAAAAAATCGGTAGGAAACAACAAAAATGGGCAACAACGACGTCGACATTGTAGCAATTGAGAGAAAATTGTTGACAAATGCGACGGTTGAACTGGCAATTCGACACCGTTTTGTCGGTTCAACTGTGGGTCAATTCAGGTTAATGGTTGAAACTGAGTTTAGAGTGTCCCTGCGACCCGAGAAGGGGCTGGTTCTCGATCAAACCGGTGAAACCGTCCAGTCTAGTCAAGGTTTTAAAACAGAGGTTGTAATGTGATGTTTAGTAAGATTTTACCTTTTGTGTGGCAATTGATGTCATTTATCGTATTATTTAGGGGGTGTTTGTGTAAGCTTATAAGCTGGTCAAACTAGCTTATAAGTTGGTCAGACTAGTTTATAAGCTCTAAAATTAAGCTGACTTGTTTATTTATAACTTTTTTGAGCTTATAAATTGAACTTATAAACAAAAAAAAACAAAAAAATTTTTTTTTTTTTTTTTTATAAGCAGTCTGTTTATAAATTAGTTTGATCAAGTATATTATCACATTATCCTTGTTTAATTTTAAATTTTCATAGTATACTCTTATTTAATGTAGTACCTTTTTTAGTCGTTTTATAATAAAATATACTTATAAACCACATTTTACCAAACACGTCAACTACTTATCAGTCACTTATAAATACTTTAACCAAACACGTAATTGCTTAAAATTTCAAATGCTTATAAGCTAATTTTAGCTTATAAGCACTTGTTGCTTATAAGCTAATTTTTATAAGCTTAGACAAACACCCTATTAATCATCCACATGTTAATTTAAAACCTAATAGCGTCACAAACTTAAAATATATAATAATATTAATATGTTTATAGAAATGTATACTTAAAATGTAAAACACATATTTTATTGGTGTAAATGTAAAGGGTTTTAATAGAGTTCGAATAAATTGTTACCAAGGTCCAAGGTTGACCTGTGTGACCATTATACAAAATTAACATCATTAATTTAAATAAATATTTTTTTTCTTACACACAATGTGTTTTAATCATATATATATATATACAATTTATATGAATTGTATTGGTTGATATAAATTATAATGGAGGCGAAGATTTAATTATAGGTTGTATTAACCAATAAGACTACAACGGTGTGTACAATTATAATTATATTAGATAAAAATGAGAAGAGGATTGAAGATGTTAGTATTGAAGACTTTGTCAGTTATGTTGGTAAAATGAATTGTGAAGTGATACTATTATATATAATTCTTTAAATGAAGATAGCACCTAAGTTTTGAAATTAATGTTTTCATATAATAAGAAATCAGTTTAGTATTTTCATTAAAAACATGTTTCTTATCTTATATTATTTTAAGGATTTTTAATCATGCTACAGTTACAAAAAAACTATAAAACCAAACAAAACACGATACAGTTAATAATCAATGTTTTAAAACCTGATCGGCCCAGTCGATTGGGCTGATTCAACCGGGACCCAGACGGTGAGCTGGGCCAAGAGAGTCTAAAAATTGAAGTCTAATGGTGGTGGTGGTTGGAGTTTTCGTCACTCAAAACGATCAAAATTTGGCAAAGGACAACAAAAAAAAATCATTTTTCGTTGTCAACAATTGACGAGTAATGAGAGGAGATAAAAGGTATGGTTTTAAAGAGGAGAGGGTGGAGGTTCCAATGGTGGTGACAACTGACAAGGGTGATTTTGGTGAAAAAACTAGCCAAAGAAAGAGGAAAGAAGGTTGGTGTCGACGCATGCTAACATGTGCTGAAAACAATGACGTGCACTGATTCAAAAATTTTGAATTATTTTTTAAGTGTCATGTCACCAGTTTGACCCATCGGTCAAACCAGTTAAACCGATCAACCCGGACCCGACTTCTTTGCTGGATTTACAACTATAATACTTGATAATTCTCATTATTTTAGTTAAATATAAATGGTATGTAGTATGTACAACTATAATACTTGATAATTCTCATGTACAAATTGCAAGTGCAATATTAGCTATTGATTGAATGTCTAAAGAAAAACGACTAGTTATACTATACAATCACATTTTTTTAATATAATCTCCCTTTCAAATAATATATTCATTTTAAATAATATGATTTGTAATTTTCATCAAATTTGACAATACTTTTCATGTATAATTAAAAAAAAAAAAAAAAAAAAAAAATTGCCCTCGGCCCCCTACTCAGAAAAGAATTCCAACAAAATAAAACCATATTCGATCAATCATTCCAAAAACGTAGCCCAGCCTCAGAGAGATGAAAGGGTAATTGAATGCGTCTCATTGCCATTGTACAGGAATCTGTTATGGACCAACTAAATATCACAAGCTTAGAAGATTTTGGAAGGAGAAAAATGGAATCCATCTACAAAATTTTAAAACAGGACAACATTCTTAATACCCAAAAACGTAATGATAATCAACTCCCTCAGTCCTCCCACCACAATCTGAAGAATTAATGACTTCCTTTCTCTGATAAGGACAAGAATGGCAAGAAAACCTCAGATATGTATTTACCTTCATCTTAACTTCTATACTCAACTCTCTGCAATGCTCGACTGATTGGTTCTTGGAAGTACTGAAGGGAGATCAAAATTGCTTCCTATTGCCAGATATGCAATCACATATGGTAAATAGATATTTAGAAGGGTAAAGAGACCAATAAAAATCAATAAAAAAGGTACCTCTGTTCGAATTGTTCGACTTCCTTGATGGGGACATGTGTTGAAATATGAGTCAAACACCTCCCGAGCATTTTTTTGCTTTTTATGAGAAAAAAAAAAACACCGACAACAACAAAAAAACTAATTAGATCAACTAGCAATAAGTTAAAGCCTTGGCATATATCAATCATAAACTAGAACTTCAAATAAAATGTTTTCTTTGCTCTATGCAATTATATCAAATCAAGCATTATGGCATAAGCATAACCTCAATGCAAAATATTTATCTGAAAGGAAGCGTAATTGTTTCTTCTGATTGTTAAAACATTTTCTTTTTCATTTGAAACATCGCATAACACTGAAAGAGTGGGGAAAAATCTCAATTAAGAAAAACACATTTTTAAAGGCATGCTGCGAATTTATCCAATTCTACCTTTAATTTGGCTATCTGAAAAAGTCATTTGCTTTCTATTATCATCTTTCTTGTCCAAGAAGACGAGACAAACATGTTTAAAAAAAGTCGTAATAAAGAAGTTGGCCAGGTAACTCAACAATTAGATTGAAATTAAAAACTATTGTGCACTGTTTTTTATTCCAATATTCTTCTTTCAAATGACATATCTACCCCTGTTGATTATGATCTGATTATTTATGCCATTTTTAAGTTCAATTTTTGTTGGGCTTCATTATTGTTAATTAATGTGTAAAGTAATACTGTATATCTATTATTTAACGCCCCTTTCCATCCACCTCTATTATATTACTTTATACGGATTATTTTGTGTATATATATATTTTTTTATTTTTAAAATACTGAGTACATATACCCACAAAAAGTACTGTACACACCCATTTTATTAAGCACAATATTATTGAAATTTTAAATATGATTTCTCTATAAACTTTGCACCAAAATTTTCAATTTACATTGAGTTTTTATTTAATTAAGCATAAATATATATTTTTATATTATAATTATAAAAATATGTATATTAAAAATCTACCTTTTGAGTTTTTAATAATATGTACGTTAAAAGTGAGTATTGAAAATATTTTTTTTATCCAATAATCAAACATTTTCAATTATCCGAAGTAACATTCTAATATTTGTCAACAACTACATACGTCATATGCTCGATCGATTTTGGATAGTACAATTGGATTATATTAGAAAGGAGAAATTGAATATATTACAATTTACACACCCATTTTAATGTAATTAAAATGAAATCATATATCGGTCAATTAGCTAATAGATATTCTAATAATATAAACATTGTTGTAATCAATATTTTTAAATTTGACCTAGGTCTTGACTCAGTCAAAGGGGTTGGTTCTCGGGTTGGGCGGTCTGACCCATTGGTCGGGTCGATGACGTTAGCATGAAAGCTAGTATGAAACTTAATAGAGATAATCTGAGAAATTCTATCAGTCCTTGCAGGTTTGAAATCCAGTAAACACACCCCTATGATTTGGCTAGGAGGCGCAAAGTGTCGCGTAGTCAATCGGTTCATCAAGTGGTAGGCGGTGATCGATGAGGGAACTCAGGTTGTGATGAACATAGTTTTGGTGTGGAGAATGAGGTGGTGCTAATGGTGGTGTCAAGTGGAATGATTGTCACCAGAAGCGATCGAAAATCAGCCTAAAGATAAGTAGTTGCGCAAACCAGCAGGTGGACGACATCAATGATCGAGGGGTGCACTTGGCTGGAGATGGTAAGGGTTTTGTCGTGGAGGTGAAAGTGAAGCCCATGGTGGTGTCAGGTAGGTTCAACGAGCTAGAATCAGACTAGATCAGCCTTGGAATGGGCAATCACTAGAATGGGAAAAGGTCATGTGAACAGTGCAAAACAGCCAAAACACGATCAATCAGGTTAGGAAAGTACTCACATGGTGTTAGGGAGGTGTTTTCTGCTGATTTTGATGAAAAATTCGGTAGGAAACAACAAAAATGGACAGCAACGACATCGACAGCAATTGAGAGAAAATGGCTAGCCTATGCGACGATTAAACTGGCAATTCAACATTGTTTCGCCGGTTCAATTCAGGTTAATGGTTGAAACTGAGTTTAGAGTGTCCCTGCGACTAGAGAAGGGGCTGGTTCCCGATCGAACTGGTAAAACCGTCCAGTTCGGTTGAGGTTTTAAAAGAGAGGTTGTAATGTGATGTTTAGTAAGATTTTACCTTTTGTGTGGCAATTGATGTCATTTATCGTATTATTTAATCATCCACATGTTAATTTAAAACCTAATAGCGTCACAAACTTAAAATATATAATAATATTAATATGTTTATAGAAATGTATACTTAAAATGTAAAACACATATTTTACGGGTGTAAATGTAAAGGGTTTGAATAGGCTAATAGAGTTTGAATAAATTGTTACCTAGGTCCAAGGTTGACCTGTGTGACCATTATACAAAATTAACATCATTAATTTAAATAAATATTTTTTTTCTTACACACAATGTGTTTTAATCACATATATAAAAATAAAATAAATAAAAATAGTAAAAATAGATATAAATTATAATGGAGGCGAAGATTTAATTATAGGTTGTATTAACCAATAAGACTACAACGGAGTGTACAATTATAATTATATTAGATAAAAATGAGAAGAGGATTGAAGATGTTAGTATTGAAGACTTGTCAGTTATGTTGGTAAAATGAATTGTGAAGTGATACTATTATATATAATTCTTTAAATGAAGATAGCACCTAAGTTTTGAAATTAATGTTTTCATATAATAAGAAATCAGTTTAGTATTTTCATTAAAAACTTTCTTATCTTATATTATTTTAAAGATTTTTAATCATGCTACAGTTACAAAAAACTATAAAACCAAACAAAACACAATACAGTTAATAATCAATGTTTTAAAACCTAGTCGGCCCAGTCGATTGGATTGATTCAACCGGGACCAGACGGTGAGCTGGGCCAAGAGAGTCTAAAAATCGAAGTCTAATGGTGGTGGTGATTGGAGTTTTTGTCACTCAAAACGGCTAGAATCTGGCAAAGGACAACCTAAAAAAATCGTTTTCTGTTGTCGATGATCGACAAGTGATGAGAGGGGATACAGAGGATGGTTTTGAAGAGGAGAGGGTGGGGGTTCCAATGGTGGTGACAAGAGTGATTTTGGGTGAAAAAATAACCAAAGAAAGAGGAAAGAAGGTTGGTGTCAATGCATGCTAACATGTGCCAAAAACAATGACGTGCTAACGTGCACGCCGATTCAAAAATTTTGAATTTTTTTTTTAAGTGACATGTCACAAGTTTGACATTTGACCCACCGGTCAACCCGTGACCTGGGTTTAGCCCCGAATTGGTTTTTAAAACATTGATTAATATATATTTTCTTAAAGAAATTACAAATACATCTTATTACCTACCCAGGCTAACTGTCACCAAAAAGATGAAGTATCAGATGATTTTAGTTAAATATAAATGGTATGTAGTATGTACAACTATAATACTTGATAATTCTCATGTACAAATTGCAAGTGCAATATTAGCTATTGATTGAATGTCTAAAGAAAAACGACTAGTTATACTATACAATCACATTTTTTTAATATAATCTCCCTTTCAAATAATATATTCATTTTAAATAATATGATTTGTAATTTTCATCAAATTTGACAACACTTTTCATGTATATTTAAAAACAAACAAAAATTTGCCCTCCGCCCCCTACTCAGAAAAGAATTCCAACAAAATAAAACCATATTCGATCAATCATTCCAAAAACGTAGCTCAGCCTCAGAGAGATGAAAGGGTAATTGAATGCGTCTCATTGCCATTGTACAGGAATCTGTTATGGACCAACTAAATATCACAAGCTTAGAAGATTTTGGAAGGAGAAAAATGAAATCCATCTACAAAATTTTAGAACAGGACAACATTCTTAATACCCAAAAACGTAATGATAATCAACTCCCTCAGTCCTCCCACCACAATCTGAAGAATTAATGACTTCCTTTCTCTGATAAGGACAAGAATGGCAAGAAAACCTCAGATATGTATTTACCTTCATCTTAACTTCTATACTCAACTCTCTGCAATGCTCGACTGATTGGTTCTTGGAAGTACTGAAGGGAGATCAAAATTGCTTCCTATTGCCAGATATGCAATCACATATGGTAAATAGATATTTAGAAGGGTAAAGAGACCAATAAAAATCAATAAAAAAGGTACCTCTGTTCGAATTGTTCGACTTCCTTGATGGGGACATGTGTTGAAATATGAGTCAAACACCTCCCGAGCATTTTTTTGCTTTTTATGAGAAAAAAAAAAACACCGACAACAACAAAAAAACTAATTAGATCAACTAGCAATAAGTTAAAGCCTTGGCATATATCAATCATAAACTAGAACTTCAAATAAAATGTTTTCTTTGCTCTATGCAATTATATCAAATCAAGCATTATGGCATAAGCATAACCTCAATGCAAAATATTTATCTGAAAGGAAGCGTAATTGTTTCTTCTGATTGTTAAAACATTTTCTTTTTCATTTGAAACATCGCATAACACTGAAAGAGTGGGGAAAAATCTCAATTAAGAAAAACACATTTTTAAAGGCATGCTGCGAATTTATCCAATTCTACCTTTAATTTGGCTATATGAAAAAGTCATTTGCTTTCTATTATCATCTTTCTTGTCCAAGAAGACGAGACAAACATGTTTAAAAAAAGTCGTAATAAAGAAGTTGGCCAGGTAACTCAACAATTAGATTGAAATTAAAAACTATTGTGCACTGTTTTTTATTCCAATCCAATAGCAAAAACTAGCCCAGGACGTTTCAGGAGGTCCAGTAACATATCAAACTCCTTAAAAAAATTACAATCACTTTCTTGGATTTGGTTTTAAGACAACAGTCTCAAATTGTAACCAAAGATGTTCTTCCTCCAAAAAATGAAAATCTAAATAAAGACACAGATTCAACATAAATGTACCTTTAAGTTATCATCTTCTTCAATACTCTCTTCTAAACCAGCAAGTCCACCAAAAGCAATCAATAGATGCCTAATAAATCATGCATTCAAGCAAATCAATGGCAACCATGAATGGATATGACATCTACATGAGTTCATCTTACTTCATGCCGAAAAGATTTCCTTAATATGGGTGCAGGTAAGAAAGATGTAGTTTGATGTTCAAAATACAATAAAATTAAGAAATAAACCTAAAAAATCTGAGATAACCCTGCATATAAAAAAAAAAAGATTGCCAAAATAGAGGTCTATGTTTCTCCAGTATTACCAAATACCTTCACCAGTCACACTGGATGATTCTAATGGAAAAGTGGCTTCTAACAATGGTTGTCCTGTCTCACCCCTGCCTAAATACTTTTAGGACAGTTTTGTTAGTTTATAGTAAAAATAGCATTCATGTGGCTCAATGTTAAGATAGAGGGATGCAATACACACAATAAGGTCATAACAGTCCATAACCTAACAGCACCTCCAATTCCAAAGCAAGCATAAATTCCTGTCAACCTCACCAATTTCCACATTCCCTTAAAAAATTAATTTTAGATCACGGATCAACAGATTTTGAGTAGCCATAATCTTGAGCTACACAATGCATGCTTTAGCTATACAATTATTTAGACAGAATGAGCAAGACAATGATGATTCAGAGTTAAACACTTAGAGAAAGTGAGGATCTACACTATGTGCAAAAGAGCAGGTATTCAAAAGGAAGTTACAATTAAGCTAAATCAAACAAAAAATATACCTGAAATTTGGCAATGTAAGTTCAGATGAATTAACCGTATCACCATGCTCTGAGGTACCAATCAGATGATCATAGCCACCCTATTGTATATATAATAGAATTTGACTGAGAAAAGACTTACTCAGCAGAAAACCATACATTGGTTTATATAGAGAAACGAATAAGTGATCATTGCATGTATACCTTATATGAGCAGTCCTTAAATACAGAACTAATATTGGAAGCATATCGCACTTTATACCCCCAATACATTCCTGTTTCTTCCTTCGGCTTGGATGCTGGGACAACCTTGCGGGGAAAATCTATATAATGAAATATAAAATCATAAACTTCATCACTTGTAGACTTGTACACACATTAAATTAACTGAAAATAAATAAGAAAATACATGATTACTAACAAAAGCATAATTATGACAATGTGTAGTTCAATTACAAATATGATTTGAGTTACAACTTTGAAAAGGTTCAAAATATTTTCTAGAGAAGCAAGCTAAAAAACAAGAAAGACAAACCATTTATTACCAGAATCCAAATTGCGGTTGGTTCCCAATGCTACAGTTACTCTTACTCCAGGTTTGAGTACTTGATCAATGAGAACATTCTGCATTTTTCAGAATTAAATCAATCAAAAGTTAAATTCTTTCTTCACCAGATTTCAAAAAGGGAAAAAAAAAAAAAATAAAATAAAAAAAAAAATCAATTTTGAAAATTAAAAATGCAAAATAGTTAGTGTAAAGAGTAGCATAACATTTGGTTCAGATAAGCTTATGCATTGAATATGATATACAGGTCACAACTCCAAAGCCATCTAAAATACAGAGAGAGAGAAACCATGGTAAGGATTACATCATATAAAGTCCTAACAAAATTAGACATGGAAAACACACCACACAGAAATCCATGACAGCTCCCTTTATGTGTGCCCCTGTGGTGCAATGGAGGGGAAGCAGAGTGGAGACTGATATTATTAAGGTGATACAACTCTCGTCCACCCAAAAAAAAATCTCTAGAGGCAGTGTAATTTAAAGTAATAACTTCAAGATACCAAGTAAATTAAAGTATTGCCCAATTAAATTGGCATGAACTCTTATAAAAAAAAAAACTGGCATTACCAGCAATTTAATTAGGATAAAAGTCCGCATTGAGAACATAAGCTTCAGGATTAGAGATCAAGACAGAGGTTAAGGCCCATAACAGCAAGAAACACATTAAGATAGAGGTTAAGGCATAAAATTGAAAGGATGAAACATGTATGAGCATATCATTTGTTTGTCAAAGCTACTCCATTTGCAACCAAGTGTGAGGGACTTGAGTGATGAGATGAAATATTTGCACTGCAATATTTTTATGTCTCAGTTTCTATATATATATATATATAAAAGAAGAGGGAAACAAGCAATGTATTGTTTCTTGACAGCCATCAGCAACTGTTTCTGTTAATGCCAAACAACTCCCCATGCTATCAGGAAAAAAGGGTAATCTATGAATCACTGACAATGATACATAGGAAGCTTTAGAATAATCATGTGGAGACAAAATGCAATAATACCTTATTCAAACCCACATCTACTAGTGTTCCTCCAGAGTTTGGCACTCTTTCTTTTAGTGTGACACCTACAAAGTTATCACAATGTATCAAAAAGTTGGCTATAGCTTTAAAAGGTGGATCCTTATGAACCAACATATAGTAAATTGTTTAAGGAAAGCTATCCAAAACTCTTATAAAAAGAAAAAGGGTAAATGTTGTCAGAAGTCTCCTATAGAGTTACAATGCATGTGTATACCACACATCACAACAAGGCAGCAATTTTACATTCACAATACACAATATTGAGCAATAAAGTCATTCTTAGACAAAAATAAAATTGTAACATGCGTGGCTAACACACTGATTCCTAGATATGAACTAGAGATAAAAACAAAACAAAATTAAGAAAAATTACAAATAAAATGCAAATCAAGCAAGGCAAACTTTAGAAGGAAAATGAATACCCTCCCGGAATGGTGCCCACTCATGTTTTCGCAAATGATGTGGAGCATCAAGTGGGGGTAGCATACCCTGTTAAAACACAAGATACAAAATCCTTTAACTTACAACAAACCAAGAATCACCAAAACAAATGCACCGTGGAAAAAATCACCAACTTGCAAAAAACTTACAACTCACCACAAATCTTAGGCTGCTATGCATCGGAAAGAGAGCTTTTCTCAAATACTGTGGTGTTTCGAGATACTGTAAGATTCTAAAAAGAAAAGCTGCCCCACTTTCATTTTCATCCGAATTATTAACAGCCGGATCTTTCTCTAAGTTGCTTTTATTATCAAATACCACCACCTATTTTCAAAATAACGAGTACTTATATAACACTTCTCCATTACTATTAACAACAAATTATCAAAACAAACATCAAAACGAGGTCAAATAATAAACTTAACACCTAACAGAAAGCCAAAATGCTAAACAAAACTTGAAATAGATATTCCTCTTTTGAACTTAACTGCAGTAAAACGAATAAATAGTAAATGAAGTAAAAACATAGTCAGAGACCTCATCAATTCGGAAAATCGTGGCGGCACGAGCAATCTGACTAGCCAACTGCCAATAACAAAAAGAGCAAAAAACACATAAAACTAAATATAAAATATCACACCAGCAAAAGAAAATGAAAATTTAAATGGAAAGAGAAATTACTCGGGTGGCGAGTTCGACAGACTGAGCATTGTCAATGATGGAACCAGGCACGGCTATGCTGACAGTAGGTAGTTCGTTTGATGCGTCGTCGTTTTGGTGGTCTCTCTTCTTCTTCTTCTTCTTCTTTTTCATTTTGTTGTTGGAGAGATCGAGCTCATTTTGAGGTTCATGATTTTCTGATGTGGTATGTGGTTCTGCCTCTAATTCGGCTCTCTTCTTCTTCTTCCCCATTTCTGTGTCTAAATTTCTAACTAAAAGAAGCGCGCTTTTTACAAGGGTTTTGTAATGTGCGCTTTAGTGGTTTTTAAAGTAGTGAAATGCGTATTTCCAAATCCTAATTTATGACAAATGAAATTTACTTTTATAAGTGAATTTAGTTAAATTGTATAATTTACTTACTATTTACTACGCGAATTACCTTCATTATGAAGGAAATAAAATTTTGATTTGTACATAAAACAGTTGGTAATAAGAAAGTTGAAATGTCATAATTAATCATTTCATGTTAAAAATTAGGTTTTACAACTAATAAACTCAACCAAATGGCAAAGCTAATTGCACAAGTAACGAATGAATGCATTTCTTTCCATTTTCCTTTTCCTTGTTGCAGTTACTAATAATATATCAGCTCACAAGGTTGAAAATTTTCCAAAATTGAGGCATCCAATCCGCACATCTTCCACTGTATTCGCAGAATTTGCATCATCGATGAAACATATCAACTGATATATTGATGGGGGATCATCATCAAATGGCCCAGCTGCCGCAAAACATCTAAAAGCTACCTTCTATCTCTACAAGACTTGCACCAAATTCTACCTAACCTGAAGGTGCTATGCTAACTGAGTGGGTATGGTAATGGCACCACTTGAACCAAGAAAAAACACAGAAATGAAGTTAACTTTCTAAGGAAAATAATCATGATTGTACACTAAAAAACTTTATGATTTTATATTATGAATCAACTTTACAAGACTTTCTAAATGTGCTGTCAAAATCTAAGAAAATTATAGAGGTGTTATCCTTTGTTCGCAGTGTTCTTGCCTCACTCAACATAACATTAGCAATCTTCTCCGCTGAATTTTTTACTTTTTCTGCCGAGTATTTCTCCCTCGTCTGCCAACTCAAACGGAAATAATTTTATTTTTGGTCAATTTGCATTAAGGATACGATTGATCCAGAAAAATTAACAAATATTGAGTAAATATATGAAATAATTTATTACCTGAAGGACTAGCTGAATTGCCTTCTTAAAGCTGATGACATCCCAAAATCCATCACTGAAATATTGACAGAATCCAGAGGAATTGAGGGGAAAAAAAATATTGATGGAAAACTGAAAATACACAGATAAGAGGCAATAAAAGTAATGGGGCTTATCCATAAAAAAAAGTACAATGAAACATGGCGTCTTGGCAGCTCAAATATCCAAAACGAGGCCCATAATCCATCAGATAACATCAATCAAACCAGGCACAATATACAAAAGAAAATAAATATGAAGGCATTAAGTAAAAAAAAAAAAAAAGGAATATATTTCTAAAAAAAAGAGTTGAAAGACAGTGACCCATAGAAAAATCACCTAGCCAAAATAGCAAAGTCCCTGCTTGCTTGATCAATATGCACAACTTGACTTATATAGGGCTCTGAACTGAAGCGGACCTCCTGCTGTTTCAGAAATTTGTCTCCAAGCATTCGAGCAAGGTTTAAGCCTAAATCAGAAGGAAATTGTTGGTGCTCATCTAAATCCATTAAATGAGGCAATTAACTAATTAATCGAACCAATTATATGCCTACCACATAATCTTGTTTCCCCGTCTTTCAATGGTTCTCCTGTTTTGTTGATTCGGAGCCTTTCAGAATTACTAGTAATCCGATGGTCTTCTGTCATCTTAATCTGCTTCCCATCAACACTGCAACAATAAAATCATATTCAGCGATAAACAAGTGATAATTACAGTTGCAAAAAGCAGAACTTCAATTCAAGTAAACTAAAAGGACTACCAAACTGATTGAATTCTGTTGAAAAAAAGATGACACTGATTAAATAAGACACAGGTAGCTACACTAATATGACAATTGCACGGCTAGCATTGAATTAGTACTACAACAGTCAGTATTCATAAAAACCTCAACGTTCTGATATCATAATCAGATAAAACTGTGAAGATGAAAAACTGCCAATGATTAACAAGATTTAACATCGATAAATATTGATATGCTACAACAGCTTTGTACTATATTCGGAAAGGTTCAGAGGCCACTAAAATGGAAATCCATAAGTTTTAGGGTTTAAATACCCTTAAAATTAAAGAAATAGTAAAAGAATAGTACTACTTACAAAGTTTGTATACAAAGTATACAAGTAATGTGGCATTACCTATTAATTGACATATCATTTATCTTCATTCAATGAGTTTACATTTTCACCTTCCCAATCATGATGTAACATATCACTTTATATACAACATTTTGTGTACACACTCTGTAAGAGTAGTATTATTCATAGTAAAAGTAAATCTTCCACGAATGATAATATTTTTTGAAAATTATTTATGTCTGCTAAAAGAATGTACATTAGATTTTGCTACGTAAAAAGAAAATGGCAAAACTAATTCCATTAGCATAATGAAAATCCTCCTTTAAAGAAAGGAAAAAAATAAAAAAACCTAAGTTAACTAGCTTTCCTGTCATTAAGTCATCTGGGATGCACCACAGGATTTCATGATATGAACTATTTAGCTTACAGCATAAATTTTATAATATAACTCCCTAGATATCCTATGAATGAATTAAAAAAACAAAAAGAAAAGAAAAAAACATAAACACATACTTCATTACACAAGCAGAATCCCCAACATTTGCACATTGCGCAANAAAAAAACCTAAGTTAACTAGCTTTCCTGTCATTAAGTCATCTGGGATGCACCACAGGATTTCATGATATGAACTATTTAGCTTACAGCATAAATTTTATAATATAACTCCCTAGATATCCTATGAATGAATTAAAAAAACAAAAAGAAAAGAAAAAAACATAAACACATACTTCATTACACAAGCAGAATCCCCAACATTTGCACATTGCGCAAAGAAATTTTCATCACCATCAGTCCAAACCAGAAGTAATGTTGCAGTACAACCCTGCAAGGAATCAATTATTACAACATGCAAACCACGGCTTTTATACCATTACAGCAGAAGCAAAGATAAAGAGAAGATGAAATTGTAAAGTGAAATTTTCACAATTTGTCATACATCCACTGTTTGAATCTGTGACCAGTCACTAGAATGTTTATATGCCAAGTTACCACAAAAACACCAGAAAGGGACAGGCAACATGCAATAGATTCTACAGAAAGTGCTCCTTTCACAAAGAATATTCAGAATCAAGTTGGAAAAACACTAGAAGAAGTCTATCAGGTTGATAAAAAAATTCCAAAAATCAATCACCAATCTCAAGTACCGGGTTAAGAATCATGACCACTAAAAAATTCACTCAAATTTCAAATTATAGCCTGTTTGTTTACGCTATCCATTCACTCTGATACATTTCCATTGGTTGTCAAATTGTAACACAGATACACACATTAAATGATGTAATAGAACCCAACACATAAGAAAAGACAGTTAATACAGCATACTAGTTCCTCTCTTGCAGGGAAATATTCCAGGGTTTGAATAACTAACAGAAGTAACATACCAATAAAGTATAAAACTACATAATTACCATATTAGAAAAGCAAACAGACATTTCAATACATAAGCCAAAGTTTTCAATATCAACTTACACCAAATTCATGTAATAGGTGGAGGGGAAAGAAAATAAATGAAACCAAGCAGGATAAAAACCTCATAATAATGATTCATGGATGCTTCTGTTTGAGAAAATGCATCCCTAAGAACATCTGAAGCATCACATAGTGCCAAAACCCTCTCTCTTTTATGCGAATCCGATAATATATCAGCCACCATTTTAGGAAGAGTTCTGAAGAACAAATTATGGTAAGTAAATACTAGAGTTGAAGGCTCAAAAATCAATACCACAATGAATAAGGGGAGAACATAACTGATCTACTGATTACTACATGTAGCTTAATCAAAATGTAAATACTTGGAAAGCATGATTAAGATGAAACAAAGCGAAAAGAAATTTGTATTAAGTGCCAAAGGGGTTTTGTGAAAATCAATTCTTCAAACAACTCAACTTTGAACTTGACCATACTGAACCATACAAAGTCACAGAATCAGATCATTTCTATTGCCGGGTGTCATGGAATCAAATCAGTTTAGGTTGTTTACAAACATGTTGTTAAATGTTTGTATTCATAGAAACAAATGCATAGACCATATAATTCAGCAAATACTGTGAACTGCGGATATCACTTCCATATTTTAGTCCAGTAGATATATACTAGTATCTTCATTATTTATCTCTCCCTCAAAATCAAAATTTTAGTTGTAAAGCAGCTCAAGCACAAAAACATCCATGGTTATCATCCTTTTTGGATGCAAGGATAACTTTCATCTTGTCTTCCTTGTTTCCTCAATTGTATACACCCCAAAATACAATTCCCCCATCTAATTACCTCCAGTACTAAACTTATGAAAATGTCCACAAAAAGTGTGTATATATATATAGACACATACACATAGCCAGTCTTAGGTATGGGCATTTACATTTTAAAAAATGAGGACCTTGCTCGCTAGCAATATTAAACAATTTGTTACTGCCAGCTAATGGAGGCATGTGTATATATAGAGCAAGATAGCAGACAAAGAATCAAATAGAAATACATACTCGCTAGCAGATTTGGCAGCTGCTGCACCACCATGTCCATCACAAATACCAAATAACCCAAACTGCGAAGTAAGCAGTTAGATAATAATGTAAGCCTTTCATGAATATACATATATTTACTAAAAATAAATAAACTCTAACAAACCCGATCAACCCCAGGAAGAGGCCAGTGATAATAGCACACATCTTCCATTGGAAGTTTCTTTGCTCCCCGTCGCAAAGCCATGGCATCTGATGCCACACCAACTCCAAAAGGAACCTGAGCCTCAGTTTGGGATGTGATTTGTACCTGCCACCAAAAAGAATTACATATTGGGTAAAAACATAGGAACGTAGCAGATGCAACTTCATAAATTTTACAAATTAAGAATTAAATGTACTAATTCAAATTATAGCCAAATAAGCAATTAAGAGTACAGAATATAGAAAAGTAAATCATGTCATAAAATACTGAATCTCTAAATTTGTTTTTGCTGCTAGATGATTTCTTATTAGTGGTAAAAAATCCATAACATTGTGTTCATTTCAGATGCCATAT